TCCCACACTGTGTCCCTGGTGTTGTCCCCCGCAGGGCCATGGGCCAGTGAGGAGCATCTCGTCTCATAGTGGGGTTGGCCATGTGGTCCTCTCTGTGGACTGGCTGCTCTATTTGGCCTATTGGGCCAGGATGTGCTCCAGTCTCTCCTCCTCCCCCATCAAAAAGATACAACTCTGATGCACACGTTTCCTGGTTTTAAACCTTTCATTAGGCCCCAAATGCTTAGGCTGGGGATTTTTAATTGATTCGAGGTCAATCAGCATTCAGATTAGCAGCTGAGTGAGTTTTGTTTGTGCTTAGGTTTTAAGGCAAACAGTTCATGTAAGGGGGTTTGGGAACTGATGCATGTCTACTGTGGAACCTGGGAGGGCTGAGACCCAAGGATGGGATTGTCTTGTTTCTCCTGAGTCTCGCGAGTTGTCCCCTTAGGTTGCAATCCTACCACTTTCTGCTGCTCTCTCGGTGGGATAGGCTTGAGTTTTCCTCCTCCGACATTTCCCTTTTCCACCCTTCCTGCTGGTGTGGGCTTCATTGAGAAGACAAAAGCCTCTTAAGAGCCTACTCCTGCAGGCCCTTAAAAATGTCCTAGAGAAATGTAAACTTTCAGTGTCAGTGGTCACTGACAAGCCCTTTAAAGGCAACATATTAAAATTTGCTCACTATTTCAACCAACATATTTTCAGGATCTGGAGATATGATGACAAATGGGAACAGAGGTGGTCTCTGTTTTTCTGATCAATAGACATCTACTCTCCCAAGCTTACTCTCCCCCTCCTCGCAATCCTGCATTTGCCATCACTAGAAAAGGCTCCTCCTGGAAGGTGCAATGTAGCATTGTGACTATCCATGTGGGCTCTTGAGTCTGATGACTGGAGTTCAAATCCCAGCTCAGAAGGCACTTGCTCTGCCTTGAGCAGCCCGAGTGGCATCATGGGTCATATGTTGAATTGCTCACCCCGGGGTCAGCAGTTGGAACCCACCAGATTCTCCATGGTAAAAAGAGAAGTCTGCTCCGTAAATATTTTTTTTAATTTCACTAACATTTCATACACATGTCATACTATTTCATAATTCAACCATATCAAGAATGTGGTGTGTAATTATCGCCACATCCAATCCTAGAATTTCCCATAAAGATTTTACAGCTGCAGAAACTCAGGAAATTTTCTGTCCTATAGAGCTGCTGTGAGTCAGAATTAATTCAATGGCAGTGCTTGTCTGTTTCCTTGTTTGGTTGTTTTAGTATTGGGCACATTACACAGATTCTTTTTCTCAAGTATCCCATCTGTAAAATGGGATAATCAGAGTATCTACCTCATCGAACTATAAGGTGATTAAAAGGTATACTGTCTGGGAAATGTTGGCATGATATAAAAGCTCAATTACTTGAAGAAAAAATTCTTGACTTCGATTTCTCCTCATCCCCTCCCACATCTAACAAACACCAAGTCCTATAGAAACTATTTTCCAGTTATTCCTTGAATCTATATTTTTCTCTTCTAGTCCCTCTGTTCACTTCTAATCATCTATTACTGGCCTATTTCATCATTGTTTCCTTGGACTACTGAAATAGTCTTCTAAATACTATGCTCAACACTTGTCTACATCTGATCTGTTACCAGAACAATATTCCTAAATCTGACTACAGTACTCCTGCTCTGCTCAGAATCCCTCAACAGCCTGACATGCCCCCCGGTAGGAGAAAATTATAATTACCAGCATGCCATGTTAATTTTATTGTTGTCTCTGATTTAA